TCTCTCTCTCTCTCTCTTCTCTTCTCTCTCTCTCTCTCTCTCTCTCTCTCTCTCCTCTCTGTCTCTCTCTCTCTCTCTCTCTCTCTCTACTCTCTCTCTCTCTCTCTCTCTCTCTCTCTCTCTCTCTCTCTCCTCTCTCCCTCTCCCTCTCTCTCCGTCTCTCTCCTTATATAATTTATGTAACTGATCATTGTATAGAGTAAATGGTAGAACATAGGAATCAGACCAACACGTAAATATAAACACATTTTTTTCGAGTAGAGAGCCTAGATGGCCAAATGACTATAGAGACGGAACAGGAGAAGGAACAGACAGACAGCGAGAAGGAAAGGGTGGAAGGAACCCGGACAGACCTAACCGCGGAAGACAGGCGAAGGCAGATGACCAGACAAACAACCACAACAGAGACCACAACAGTTTTAGATCATCTCACCACAAGGCAACCACAGGGACCACCTCCCTGTCTCTTTCCGGTCTTCGTCCATCTCTTCCACAAGATGGTGTGTCTGTGTGGCTGTCTGTTTCATTATCTGTATTTGTATTTCTGTCTCTCTCTCTCTCTGTCTGCTGGTCTGTCTGTCGTCTGTTGTCTGTCTGTCTCTGTCTGTCTGTCTGTCTCTGTCTCTGTCTCTGTCTGTCTGCTGTCTCTCTGTCTCTGTCTCTGTCTCTGTCTCCTCTCTCATTCTCTGTCTCTCTCTCTCTCTTCTCTCTTCTCTCTCTCTCTCTCTCTCTCTCTCTCTCTCTCTTCTCTCTCTCTCTCTCTCTCTCTCTCTCTCTCTCTCTCTCTCTCTGCACACACACACACACACACACACACACACACCACACACACACACACACACACACACACACACACACACACACACACACACACACACACACACACACACACACACAGAGCACCCCCCCCCCTTCCCCTCCTCTTCAGAAAGCCCCCCCCCCCCCCGGACCTAGCGCCTAAAAGCTTCCGGCCGCTCGCTCTCGAAACCCTTCGTTGACAACATTGATATTTTTGGCGGGAAGTGGGAATTTATCGGTTTGTTTTGCCTGTTCATCGAGTACTCTTGGCATGTGAGATCGGGTGGAGATTGCACGGAGGGCCGAGTGTCGGTGTCGTTTGCTCTTTCGCTCTGTCGCTCTTTTGCTCTTTTTCGCTCTTTTCTTTCTTTCTTCTTCTCTGTCGCGCTACATTTTGTTGCGTTTGTCTTCTCTCTTTGTCTGTAGATTTTCTCTCTCTCTCTCTCTCTCTCTCTCTCTCTCTCTCTCTCTCTCTCTCTCTCTCTCCTTCTCTCTCTCTCTCTCTCTCTCTCTCTCTCTCTCTCTCTACTACGTATTTGTATTTATTGAAATATCCCTTAGATTTTCAAGTTTGACCAAGTTCTGAATTGCAAAAAAGTATTCCTAACGAAATAAAGAAAATGGATTTCACCGGTGACTTGCATATTCCCGTTGAGAGCAGTATGTGTGCGTTACGTGTGTGTGTTTTTGTCTCTGTATTTATGTGTGATTTTTGTGGCTGTTTCTGTGTCAGTGGCCTAAGCTGTGGCTGTGGAGGGGCTTAGGCTTGGAAAGTTGCTGCTCAGTCACTGGTGGCGAGTCTATTTGTTTGGAGGAAGGAGAGGGAGAGAGTGTGAATGTGAGAATGAGTGAGAATGAGTGAGAATCAGAATGAGAGTAAGTGAAAGAGTGAGAGAGATGAGAGAGTGAAAGAGTGAAGATCAGAGAGAGTGAGGATCAGAGAGTGAGATGAATGATAGGCAGTGAGAATGAGAGAGCGGAGAGGGAGAGGGAGAGGAAGAGGGGAGGGGAAGGAGCGGAAGGAGGGAAGGAGGGAAGGAGGGAAGAGGGAAGGGGAAAAGGGAAAAGAAGAGGGAAAGAGGTAAGAGGAAAGAGGGAAGAGGGAAGGGGAAGAGGGAAGAGAGAGAGAGAGAGAGGGAGAGAGAGAGAGAGGAGAGAGAGAGAGAGAGAGAGAGAGAGAGAGAGAGAGAGAGAGAGGAGAAGAGGGAGAGGGAGAGAGAGAGAGAGAGAGAGAGAGAGAGAGAGGAGAGAGAGGAGGGAGGAGAGAGAATGAGAGAGAGAGAGAGAGAGAGAGAGAGAGAGAGAAAGGAGGCGAAGGAGGAGCGTGTGAAAGAAAAAAAATAGAAAGAGGGGAAGAAGAGAGTAAAAGTAAGAGAGGGAAAAGGAAAGGAGAGAGAGGGCAAGGTGGCGAGAATTGGTAGACGAGGAAAAAAGTATTCGGACTGACATGAAAAGGTAAATGCAAAGGAGAAAAGGAAAATAGTTTTGATTGAACAGGGTGGCGGGGGAAGCGGAAGGAAGAGAAGGAGAAAGGAAAGGGAAGAGGAGAGGCGAAAGGCAATGAAACTTTTACCTTTTGCATTCTCTCCTCCTTTAATTCCTTTTTTTTTCTTTTAATATCATTATCCTCTACCTCAACACCCGTCCGTTCTCCCTCTCCCCTGTGTTCGCCCCTCCTCCCTCCCACGTCTTTGCCCCTCTCCCCTTCCTCTTCCTTCGTCCCCTCCCTCAACCCCCCTTCCCTTCCCCCTCTCCCTCCCGCGCCTTTGCCCTTCCCCCACTCCCCCGTCTTCGCCCCTCTCCCCCCTCCTCTTCTTCCTTCGCCCCCTCTCCCCCCTCCTCTTCTTCCTTGTCTCCCCTTCTCCCCTCCTCTTTTCCTCCTCCCCCTCCTCTTTCTTCTCCCTCTCCCCCTCCTCTTCTTCCTTCGCCCCCTCTCCCACCTCCCCCGCCCTCGACCCCCAATCTGCGGGCGTCATCTCGCGTGAAGCCTTCCCGAAGAGGGTCCCAGAATTAAACACGGGCGTCTTGGCTGCCATCTTGAGACTTCCACGCCTCCTCCTCTTTCATCTCGCATTTTCTTCATCGGCCTTTATTTACATATTTCTTATTTTTTCCCCTTTGCTTCTCCTCATCTTTATCTTCCTCGTTTTGCGGATATTTCTTCTTTTTTTATCTTCTCTCTCTCCTCTTCTTCGTTCCTTTATATTTTATGCATGATTTTTTCGTACTCTCTCTTATCCTCTTTTTTCTCTCCCTTCTTCATACGCCTCTCGACTCCGTCTTTATTTCCCTCCTTTACTCTTCCTTCTTTCTCAATTTCATCTTCTCTCCATTCCTTCTGATACTCCTATCTTCCTCCTTTTCTATCCTCGCTACAGAGGACAATGAAAGAGGAAAGAGAGGGAAATGGGAAAGGGTAACGCGTAAAGAGTAGCAGGAAAGGGAAGACGAAAAGAGGGGAAACGGGAAGGGGCAGGGAGAAGTGGGAAAGAAAAGGAGAATAGGGAAAAGAAGGTAGAAGGAGGAAGGGAAAGGGAAAGGGGAAGGGAGAATGATGGGAGAGGGAAAAGGGAGGAAGGGGAAGGGTGAAGGTGTGAGGAAAAAGGGAGGAAGGGGAAAGGGGAAAGGAACCGGGGAAAGGGGAGGAAGGGGAGGGGGCAACGAAGCCACACTGTCTGCCGCACCTGCCTTCGATGCTTGCCAGGGCTTGTGGGAGGGAGGGCGAAGGGGACGAGGAGGGGGTAAGAAAAACTGGGAAGGGGGGAGGAGGGGAAGTTATGGGGAGGGAGAGGTAGTGGAGGAGGAGGGGGAGTAGAAAGACAGGGAAGGGGTAGAGAAGAGAGGACTGGGGAGAGAATGGGGGAGTAGGAGGGGCAGAGAGGGATGGGGAAGGGGTTTTAGAAAGAGAGGGGAGCGTAGAGCTGAATGGACGATTGGGGGAGACAGAGGGAAGAGGATAAAGAAAGATGAGAAAATGAACAGGTGCAAGATAAAAGCTCTATGGAAGAACGGCAAAGGAAAATTAAAAGCAAATAACGAATAGAGAAAGGGGACAAAAGAATAGAAAGGCTGATAGGGGAAACTAGCAAATGAAAGAGAGCGAAATGGGAAGAAGGAAGAGAGACGAAAAGAGGGGAAGAAAGGAAGAAGTGAGAAAATGGAGGGGCGAGGGGAAGGGGGTTGGGGAGACGTGACGGAAGCGGGTATTTTAAAACTCTCGTTGGAGGCAATTAGTGGTTCGGCCTCAGTGGCAGCGGTCAGCGATGGGTCGGATGGCTTGCTCTCAGACTTGCTTCTCAGACTCCAAGGTTTACTCCCAGACTTGATCTCAAACTTGCTCTCAGACTCCCAGGCTCTCAGACTTGCCCTCAGTCTTGCTTTTCGGTGTATGCTCGCAGATTTGCTCTCGGATATTACTGTCTGCTTCTTCACTTGACTTCCTATGGCATTTCGCTCGGCCGGATCGCGAGCATGAAATGGACACTTGCTCGCTCGAATGGCTTGCGGTCTGGCTTGTTAGGTTAGATCGATGGTTCAGCTGTTCGGTTGAGGGGCGAGGCTTGGGTTAAACGGTGTGGTTGCTGGTTTTACGAGGAGTTAGGCGGTTGTTTGCTTAAATAATGGGTTATAGTAGTTGATTTGATTGCTGATTTATTTGCAGTTAAAAGGTTTTAGGTTGGTGGGTGAATGAATAATTAGTGGATAGATTGTTTGGCTTGCTTGGTGGTTGTAGATTTGGGTATTGCCACTAATGCGTTATTTTTTGTGTTGATTTATTTCAATCAAACTGGAGATTCCTCGTTAAAAGTGTAGTTGATCACCCCGATGTGTGGTCAGGTTAAAATTCGGTTGCAATATGTCGGGTTAGCTTCTCGGCTGGTTAACGAACGAGCTACGTGGGCAGTTGAATGAAAAAGCAAAAATTCCGGAGCAGGATCTGCAGATAATTAACAGGTGGAACGACGGGCTGGCAAAGTGGGTTGCTAGTTGGCCGGTTGGCTGAATGGCTGGCAGGGGCGAGGGCGGCGCTGGAGGGGTGGAGGGTGGGGGCGGTGAGCGCGGCACTGGGGTGAGGACGCACGGGTGGCAGGTGGCAGGCTGGCACCCGGGAGGGGGAGGGAAGATGGCACAGGCACCTGGGAGGGGGGGCAGCCTGGCACTGAGTGGGGGGCGGGCATCGGAGGGCCGGGCAGCAGACGCCGCGCCGCCCGGGTCAGTTGGCGTTCGGGAGCCGAGGCGAGCGCGCGTCGCCGAGTGACTGGCACCTGCTAGTGGCACTGTGCGTGTGCGTGCGCGCAAGCGCTCGGGAAGGAGACAAGAGAGCATGTGAGGAAAAATCGGCAGAGGAGCCGACCCTACCATCGCCCTGCCCCTTCTACCCTGCCGAGAGCGACCCTGGCCATGGCAGAGCGCGGGCGTGAGGGAGAGGGTGTGCGCACCGCCCCAGTAAGTTTACATAATGGGCGTGGGTGTAGGTGTGAGCGTGAGCGCGGGCGTCCGTACAGTGCGTGAGGGAGTGAGCCACTTACTGGGTGATTGTGACACGACCGACTTGCTCGGGGAGAGCTGAGGATGCCGAGGGAGCCGACAGATCAGCGTCCTGCCGGGGAAGCATCTGCCCTAAACTCATTCACAAATCCCCGGCGCCCGGCGCACGAGGCACTGGTCGGACCCGAGCCGCGGATGCCACCACAAGGCGCTGCGAGGAGACGATGAGAGAAATGGCCCTCCGACGACCGCCGACGGGCATGCGGCCTTTGTTTGTTTGTGTTGGTAGAGCGCGCGCGTCCGGAGGTGTGGTCCGAGGGGGCAGGTGTTTGTTCGTTTATGTGCAGGTGTGAGCGGTTGCAAGTATGTATGTGCAGTGGTCTAAATAGGTAATACGCTAGTGTAATAAAAGAATGATAATGTGAAGCTGGTAAATGAAGACAGGTAGATAAATGGATAAATAGATAGATAAGTGGATTGATACTGATAGATAGACACGGAGACAGATAGACATACAAAGAGAGAGAGAGAGAGAGAGAGAGATACAGAGACAGACAGACAGATAAATGAATAGGTAAATGAATATTGCAAGCAAGAATAAAAAAAAACTTGACTCTAGACCCAAAAGGCGTTCCTTCTTGCCACCGCTGAGGGTTTTGACTAATTCTACAACTGTAGAGATTTTCCGCTCTGTTGAACTCCTGCCTAGTTATCACAGGGGAGCGACGGGGGGCGGGTGCTAAGGAGCCAAATATCAAGTCTCTTTTTACGGTGGAGAGAAGTGGGGAAGAAGGAAA